CAGTAGTTCCAAATTTGCAATACAGAATAACATTCTTTTATATCCATTTTTTGCGGCAAAAAAGCAGCGCTTAATAAAAATATTAAGCTCTTCAATAGTTGTAGATTTTGTGCAAATTAATATTTGCCATGGTTCGGGATAGGAACTATTTATTTTATTGTTCATTCAATAGTAGTAAGCATAATTAAGATTTCAATTAAAATTTAAAATAAACAATAAAAATACAAAGACTTACCCATGATTAGTATACAAACTCATAATAATATTTGGTACACGTAATTGATCGTTACATGAGGCAACACATAATTTACCCTTATCGACAACGTCAGCAATAATGCGTTCACCTCTAACTTTAAGTTCACGCGATGTTTTTAATAATTTTCCAAAAATAGTCTGCAGTTTTTTACCAATTTCATTGAGTGTACGAGAATAATCAGTGTTTTTGCGTGAAATGCCTGAGCGATCTTTTCGAGAGGGTAATTCTGCTTTACTATTAACAAATTTTATAAGAGTTCTGCAGGTCTCAGTATTTACATCATCTTGCACATCAGATGTAAAATAGTCATAAAAGGCAAGGATATGACGAGCAGGGAAAAATGTTAAGTAATAATGTTCTTCTTGTGCTTCATCTACTACTTGTTTCCTGTATAATTTAAGGTCAAAAAACATTTATAAAACAATTTTTATAATAATATATAAATTTGCATTAAAAGATTTACTGAATTACCAGTTATGTAAGTCTTCCTTAAGCTTTGTTAACAAGTCCCTCATATCAGTAGTTCCAAACCTTTTCTCGGTGCCTCTAATCTCTTTCTTAAATCGTCTATAGTCAAAATGTCCCATCTGGATAAGTTTATATCCAACATTAAGAATCTCTTGAGCAGTATCTACTTGTAATACAAATTCGTTCATTATATTTCTTGAATTCTCCTCTTCAAGATCAGTACTAATATTGGCAGGTTTGGCAATCAGTAGGGCACGTCCACGTAAATCTAGTAAATCAGACATAATGTGTTTTATTTCTCCAGATTTGTTGGCTTGATATACTAGTGTAACATTAAATTTATCACTCTTGTCATCTTTTTCAAAAGTATAAGTTCCCCTTAATACAGCGTTTTGGATCTTCTCTTTTGTCACTTCTCCTCTATTTGAGATATTCCGAAGCCTAAAGAAAAATAACAAATATGTAAATATTCATGCGCATAGATACTTTACTTATAGAATTAGAGGGAATAACATACATGTTTTGTAAAGCCATATTAGAGCCAGCGCATACAGTGATTTTATTAGGCAAAGATGGATTTTCTTGACTAATTTTAAGTAAAACTTTCAAAAATTCATCAATTTTTTTGGATTTATTCATTAATTGGACGACCAACTGCTTAACTTGAATGAGTGATGACACGGTATCTGCTTGAATTAACCGTTCATCAGAGTAATCATCTGCACCATTAATTAAATTCTTAATATCATTTTCAGCTATGTCTTGAAGAAATTCCAAAAGATCGCTAGCAGATGATAACTCTTTAATCAATGACCAATAATTTTCATTATCAGTTTGGTTATGATCTTTACAATATTTCACAAATTCGACCACCTTTCCTAAAACTAACACGTCTTCTCTTAAAATTTTCAAAGATCTTCCTAGCCAATCCTCAGTTTTAACGGGCACATGAAAAATCTCAACAACAGCAGATAATTTTTGAATTCGTTCTTCCCATTTTGGTATAGCAGTAAGGTTTCTTATAGAAATTTCTAGTTCATGATTATTTCTACCCAAATAAACCACTTCATTAATTAATTCCAATTCTTTCTTTACATCTTCAACATTCTTCCATAAAGGGAATGCTTCAGAATATTTAATGCCACTCCATTTCTTATCTTTATATTGCTTGAATATTTTAATATATTCTTCACGCACAGCAGGTATTAAAGCATTAATAACATAATCAACTTGTATTTCATCAGTAATTTGACTTAATTGTGTTTCAAACATGTTAGTAAAAGTTTTGGAATTTGCAAATTTGTATGCTTCTGCCACCTTCTGAATAAAATCTTCATGACGCTCCCAGTAACGTGAAGATAATGCTTCTTTGAGCTGAACTTTTGACAATATCTTTAATTTCCCCTCTAAATCAGTAGTATATACATCCGAATCTACAACTTTTTCTGGTGGACAAAAAGTACTATAAAAAGCCTTAAGACATCTTAACCTGTCTTCATATATCTTACACTCTTTGCGAACGGTTGAAATACTATTTTCGGAAATAATTACACTTTGAAATGTTTTTTTGGCATTAGGACTATTAGCAACATTAAGGCATTTGGATAATTGACGATCGTCATATTTTAAAATTGCTTGTAATGTTTTAATATCGATAGTTTTATCAACAATCGAACCTGCTAAATTAGAAAGGGCTGTGCGTATTTTTGTAACATAGGAATGTTTATGTAAAGTTGTAACGTTGCCTCTTGCATTAAAAATCATTCGCCAGAAATTCGCATTCTTAATAAGATCCAGTTGTTGTTCAGTAGTATTAATTTGTGATGTCTGGTTTTCCAAACAAGTCATAATATGGCATAATAAGTTTTCGCTAATACTATTTGAATAAAAACTTTATTAGGCGTATTAATATATTTAACAAAATAATAATTAATTTAATTTATAAAATATCTTACCTATTTGGAACATCTAAATTTTCTAAATTTACTTTATTATTTTGACCACAAATCAAACATATCATTTCCATAAGATTGTTATTAATACTTCGAATATCACTAGCAATGAGAACATTTTCAATTACCAGATTATAAAACTGTGTGGTAATAGATTTGTTAAGCGTCGCTACTTGAACTGTTGCAAATAGAATATGATTATGTGAACATTTTTTAATTTTTTCGTCAGCAACACGTATCAATGTCTTGTAAATATTTGATTTATCTGTAAGTAAAGACTGCAAACGTGTTATATGCTCATAAATAACACATATAAATTTTCCCCCTTCATTTAATGTCATGCTATGATTATAATTCAACATTGATATGATACGTGTAAACCATTGTTGGCATATGTTTGTAACCTCTGATGATCTAGTATTGTGAAACTTAGAGTTAATCCAATATTCTAAAAGCTCTGGAAACATGTTCAATACATTAAAAACCGTCGACTGAGAAATGCAATTCATAGCACTAAGAAAATCATCTCTTTCAAAATATAATTGTTTATCTTTAAGAAGTTTCCCGAGCGCTGACAAACTATTTTTGTCCCAACCACCCTGCTGACTCTTGAGTAAATTAATTATTCGTTCACGGAAAAGATTAGCAACCATGTCCAGAAATTCAGGGAGAACTTTATTAAAATTCGCGTACAAAGCACTTGCATTGTCATGAGCAATAATTTTATAAACACATCCGTTGATTTCATTTGCAATTTCACGATCAATACTTGATGTATGATAAATACAATCACGCCATATTATATTAAGAGTCTCCATTTTTGAGCAAAAAGAAATCAACCACTGCAAAAACAATAAATAAATTAAGATTTTTAAATCAATCTAATTAAAAACAAGAAATAAAAATTATACCTTGGCAATTTTGTTATAAACACGATCATCTAATTGATCCAAGTGCGGACCAACTATTTTCGGCCATTCCTTTAATAAGTGGGATATGTGTTCACTATCATAGCGAACATTCATAAATCCATCGACAAAACTATAATTGGGATCAAGAACCTGCGCTACTTGAAAGATCTTAAGCCATTCAAATGATTTCCTTACGGTAGCATTATGACGAACTAAAGCAACAACAACTGGAGTCATTATTGGTTTAATATTAGATGTGAACGTATCATATTGAACAGATTGGAGTGCTTCAAGTAAACAATCAGATCGAAAATGTGTTGGCATTTGAGAAGTGAAACTGTAAGGATCCCTACGGTACTTGATATGATACCCTAAGAGAACACACAAAAAAAGCCGTTTCTCTTTTTTGTCCTGATAGCGTTGCATTATAAATTCGATAGTGATGGAATTTATTGTGTGATTCTTATGATTTTCCAACAATGATTGGAATTGCATAACCTTATCTTTAAGGTTTTCATTATTTACTGCATCATAGATGCATTTAACGAATGCGAACTCCCTAAGATTATATATACCATGACTCTTATTGTTCTGCCATATGTCATACTGATCATTTGTTCTTGTGTCTAAAGTGCGGTTTTGTATCTCACCCTCTCCTTCATAATCTATGCTGCGCCTGCTTTGGTTAAAGATACCATACTTATATTTAATATCATCCCTACCTATTCGAATGTCTATAGGATGTGATCGCCAATAAGTTGAATATTCTCGTCTATGTGGTTGTGTCAGTTTAATTGTAATCATTTTCCAACCTCCCAATTCTTCACAATTACCCACTATCACCGGTTCACCGTGTCTTTCAATACCTGGTGGTAAATGCACATGAAATGTAACTAGAACAGATTCCCCATATGCATATTTATCTTCATCTTTACCGAATAATAGTGATGCTGCTGCTTGACCTACATTTTTTAGCGTGGAAATAACCCCGGACTTTTCTTTAGATTGATAACGATCACTCAGTTGAAGATGGTAATCAATGGCATCAGCATCCTCAAAATTCAAAGTGGTCTGTCTATTATTCCCTGATTGTACTTTTTCGGTACTCAAAGGATGATCAAGAGTACCGATACCATGGTGCGAACTAATAGGTGTGGGACCACCAGAAGTGGAACCTTCATTTTCTTTAACCCCTGTCGATAAAACATTAGGAATTGGAAGTGAAGCATCATCATAAGTAGAACCACCTAAATTTTTAACATCGATATATTCTGAAGTACTATCTAAATCTTTAAGATCTCGAATATCGATATATTCTGATGCAGGGACATAATCTGAGGCAGCATCGTCGCTTTCATTTGGAATATTAGTAGTGTTATTATCATCTGATAACTCTTTAATTGGAGAAGGTGCATTAAAATCTAAAAGACTATTGTAATTTGAAGTGTTCTGCTCATCATCGATTTGAAGGTTTGGGTAAATACGTTCGCTCTGTTGAAAAGTTGTGGAATCAACGCGAAATTCGCTAGGATCCGTACGATAAGTTTTAGGATCAATCTTTTGAGAAGGATTAATCTCACTATCTGTCACAATGTTATGAGGTGTGCTTATTCTAGATTGAATATTTTTAACATCATATTGATTAGTGGGCGTGTCTACCTCAGCAGGCGTTATTAATGGTGATTCTGTCGTGAAAGATGGGGTATTCTTATTTTCATCATGAAGTTTATAAGTGCTTGTGTCTACTACAGTTGACGTTGTTACTGAATTATTAATCTCATTAGCTGCCCCGATGCTATGAGTAGTGGATGGGTCAAATTGATAAATGGACTGTTTTACTTCAGATGACGTCATCACAGGACGATTGATCTCATTATCTGCCCCAAAGCTAGATTGAGGTGTGCTAGGTGATACTGCCACAGGATTAGTAACAAAAGATGGAATATATTTATTTGCCTCAACATTAATTTGATAAGTTGATGCGCCTACTCCAGCTGATGTCGTTACAGAATTACTATTTTCATTATCCACACCAATGCTAGGTTGAGGTTTACTCGTGTAAGGTGGATTATTTCTATTTGTCCCAACATTCGATAGATAAGTGGATGGATTTGACGTCGTTACGGAATTACTATTTTCATTAGCCGCCCCAATGCTAGGCTGAGGTTTACTCACATAAGGTGGATTATTTCTATTTGTCCCAACATTAGATTGATAAGTGGATGGATATACTCCAGCTGATGTCGTTACAGAATTACTATTTTCATTATCCACCCCAATGCTAGGTTGAGGTTTATTCACGTAAGGTGGATTATTTCTATTTGCCCCAACATTATATTGTTGATAAGTGTGTATGCCTGTCGTTACGGGATTATTAATATTATCATCTGGACCGATGCTAGATTGAGGTGTGCTTATTTTAGGTGGTATCACAGGACTACTCGTGTAAGGTGGAAAATTTTTATTTGTTTCAGCATTATATTGTTGATAAGTGTGTATGCCTGTCGTTACGGGATTATTAATCTTATCATCTGGACCGATGCTAGATTGAGGTGTGCTTATTTTAGGTGATATCGCAGGACTACTCTTGTAAGGTGGAATATTTTCATTTGTTTCAACGTTATATTGTTGATAAATGGGTATGCCTGTCGTTACGGGATTATTAATCTTATCATCTGGACCGATGCTAGATTGAGGTGTGCTTATTTTAGGTGGTATCGCAGGACTACTCGTGTAAGGTTGAATATTTTTATTTGTTTCAACATTATATTGTTGATAAGTGGGTATGCCTGTCGTTACGGGATTATTAATCTTATCATCTGGTCCGATGCTAGATTGAGGTGTGCTTATTTTAGGTGGTATCGCAGGACTACTCGTGTAAGGTGGAATATTTTTATTTGTTTCAACATTATATTGTTGATAAATTGGTATGCCTGTCGTTACGGGATTATTAATCTTATCATCTGGTCCGATGCTAGATTGAGGTGTGCTTATTTTAGGTGACACTGCGGCAGGATTATTCGCAAAAGATGTAATATGTCTATTTGTCTCAACATTATATTGGTAAGTGGAAGTGCCTACTCCGGCTGACGTTGTTACTGGATTCTTAATCTTATTATCTGCCCCAATGCTAAAATGAGGTGTGTTTATGTTAGGTGGTACTGCTACAGGATTACTCGTGAAAGGTTGATTAAATTGAGGTGTAGGTGATATTATCACAGGATTACTCGTGAAAGGTGGAATACTTTTATTTGTCTCAACGTTAAATTGATTGAATTGAGGTGTACTTATTGAAGGTGATACTGCCACAGGATTACTCGTGAAAGGTGGAGTATTTTTATTTGTCTCAACATTATATTGGTTATTATCTGGTCCAATGTTAAATTGATAATTAGGTGTGTATACCGTTGTTTGATTCGGGAGCTGTATATTATTTTCTGCCTCAATGATAGGCCGAGGAGGTACGCCAGATGAAAAGGGTGAATCAGTACCTATACCTTTCTCATCCAAATGTTTTTTAATTTCATAAAGACTCATGATTTCATTAGCCGCTGGATGCTGAGTATCTTTACTAGCCGCTGACTGTTGAGTATCATTACTAGTCGCTGACTGTTGAGCATCATTACTAGTCGCTGACTGTTGAGCCTCATTACTTGCATCGTTATCGAAAGCGCCTTCTTTTGTCAAATGTTTATTAATTTCTTCAAAACTCCAGATTTGATTACTATTAGTTTGATAAGAATCTCCCTGCTTACGCTTTTGTGAATCTGGATTATTCGTTTCTTGTGATGAATCAGGCAATACTTTATCCTCCAATTCAGTATGACTTGGATATGTAACTAGAATTTTACGATAAATTAATAATTGTTGAACTAGTTTTTTTCAAACATCGAAAACATTTTACCTTTTACTCCCGATTGATTTGAGATTAGATCTTTAGATGCATCTGAAGTTTGTTTTGGTAAATAATTCTCTGTATTACCCGTTAATATAATAGGACTTGAGTCTTGTAATGATTTTCTAGTCTCAGAGTCATCTGATTCTTGTAGTACGCCATACTTAAATTTCTCTATAGCAGGACTTGAATCTTGAAATATTGTTTGTTGGGTTTCTGATTCTTGAAATACATCATACTTTACTTCCTCATTGGTAGGACTTGGATCTTGTGCTGTTTTTTTGGTCTCTGAACCATCTGGTTCATGTAATACTTCCTTCTTGATAAGACTTGAACCTTGTAATACTGCTTCTTGGGCCCTTGGATCATCTAATTCTTGCAAAAAACTATCCTTTGCATCCTCAATATTGCTCGAACCTTGTAATATTGTTTTTTTGGTATCTGAACCATTTAAATCTTGTAATGTACTATCCGTTACATCCTCTTTGATATGACTTGAACCTTCAAACAATGATTTTTTGGTCTCGGGATCATCCTTCTCGATATGGCTTGGTTTTTGTAATGTCTTCTTTGCCTCTGCACTATTCGATTTCTGTAATGCATCATCTTTTACCGGTGTAGATAGATGTATTCTTTTTAATTTCCATTTTTCAATAGCTTCTGCTGGCTTGGGTTTAATTGGAGGTGGAGTTTTTTTTTGCGTTCCACTCCCACTGCGACTAAGTTTACTGGATTCACTTGAAACAGTCATGCTAGGAACGGTTGGGGAATTAGCACTCGTCGAATGTTTAGATCCAGTATCAGTTGTTCTATGAACGATTATTGAAGAAGAACTATCAGTTATAGATTCAGCGACAATTATTGGTTTGTCTTCATCCAAAGTCATTTCCTGAAGAATTGATGAATCATTTTTAGAGGAATCGATAGATGACTGTTCAGTGTTATCAGCAATTCTATGAGCAGTTAAATTGGTAACACTAGGGTCATCTTCATCCAATTTTTCAACTTCTTTCAATTCTTTATCATGGGTGGGTAAAGTATTTTGATTTTCAATGACACTCATCTCTAGTTGAGATTCGTCAAAACCAACTTGAATATCGCTTGTATTAGATGAAGCCATTTATTCAAGAAAAAAAAAAAATAAGAATCAAGTTTTGAAATCTGGTTAACGTTAATTGGGAAATTTTGTAACAAATATATTAAATCCGGAGTGTTATATGGAAATTCCGGAAAACAAGTACACAAGCAACTAATTATAAATGGCGCATACGTATTACGCTCGGAAAATTACGTAATTACGTAATTCGTTACGTAGAGATAGAACTAGTTAGTGATGGAATTCTGTAATTTCCGACCAGATACCAGGTTGCTAAATTCGTGCGGTATATACCTACGTTTGTATATGTATTTGTCAACAGCGATAGAAACCACCCGTCACAGTATACGTAGAATAATTGTAGAGATTATCTTTACGGTGTTTATCGGAGCTTATGCAGCATCGTACAGTACGTTACCAGTTCGTTACTGAACCAGCAGTTTGGCAATAGGCTATCACTATTAAGCTATGATAAAATGGAATCAATGGCAATGACATATATATTCTATCACTGCAGTATACTATATGGCTAATCTTCTTATGGGATGAGTTTCATATGATACATAAAATCTTGCAATTTGATTAGTCGCTTGGTTTAGTAATTTATACATTATTAACGTTAATAGTAATGGCCGAGTTTATCATTGTAGTTTAATTTCAACTTTTATAAATTAATACGTATCGAGTAAAAATTATTATTGCTTAACTTTTAATGAAAAGTATCAGAAATGTTTGTCACTGGAGACGATATTCTGCGTAACGTGCAATCAAACAAAGCTTTGGGTTAAGGTCGGATTTAGAAGACCGCTCCAGCCTGATGATTTTCTGTAATAGTTATGGCTAAATTCTGCATGTGGTTAAAACAACTCCCAATTTAACGCGATCAAAGTCTTGTATTGTATATACTGTGGAAGTTGACACTCAACTGAAGTTGCAACTGGTTAATTAGCCCCTGAAATTAGATTATCCTGTACGCATTAGTTAGCTTCAATCACGACATATATGTGTACAATTAGTGATGGGACTAGAAGTGCTAAAAATTAAAATATCATACGCTGTGATCTATCAAAAAATTTCGATCCTCAATAAATTATTAAATGTGACAATTAAGTATCACCATTTTTTAACCCCCGTAGTCCCATCACTGTGTACAATCATTCATTAAAATCCCATCCACTACTCGGGAACAGTGAATCCATTCATTCCATTTTTGAAAATATACCATTGAAATCACGTGTAAATAATGAAATTACCTGTTGAACTCATTTACTGTTTAAATGTGAACTAATCCACTATTAAAAATCATGGACCCACTCATTATTAAATCGTAAGCTCAACTATACTAAAATCATGAACACCCATTATTATATAAATAACAAACGCATTCACCGTTGAAGCCATGAATCACCCACTGTTTAAACCACGAACATAACCATTACTAATTATAAATATACTCACCTTGAGATCACGAACTTTCACTGTTACCCGTTCACTATTATTGCGCTTTTCAAAATTCTGTGATCCCATAAATTTGGGTAAATTTATAATAAATTAGTTAGCTTTAGCAATCTCGATCGCAATCATTTTATAAATATTAGTAATCAAGGGGGTCACAGAATTTTACAAAGCGCAATAAATCATGGACCACTATTAAAATTGCGAATCTACACTGCTGAGATGATGAACACTCACCATTGAGGTCGCGAATAAATCTACAATTCTAAACTCACGAACTTACAATGAACCCATTCTATTAAAATTATTTATCCATCCACTACTCAAATCGCAACCCATCCTTATTGAAATTACGAATTTACCTGCTGTTGAAATTATAAATCCATCTAATGTCGAAAATATAAACTACAACTAAATTATGGACCTCTTTTGAAATTATTAACCTACCTGCTACCCACTATTGAAATTGTAAGCCCACCCAATGTAGAAATCACTACACACACCTATTGAAATCATTAATCAAGCCATTATTGAAATCTCAAATCACCCACTGCCGAAATTATGAATAACACACCTACAAATGAAAACATTATTAACCGACCTACTGTTGAAATCATTAACTTATTTTTGAAACACTGACTCACCTACTGTTAAAATTACTAATCCACTTATCACTAAAAACGTAAACCTACTCACTACTACAATCATAGATTGCCCACTCCATTATTATCCACCTAACCACTAAAATCACTAACCATCTGTTAAATATCTTACATTACTTTCAAAATAATGGAAATAACGTCAATATTGAAATCACGGACCGACCCACTGCTAAAATAATGAATCCATCCACTATTGAAATTGTGAACTCACCCAATATTGATATCACTAATCACACGCTATTGAAATCACTAATCCATCAAATAGTAAAACCATAACCATGAACCCAGAACGGATCCACTTATTCATTGGAAATAGGAACTATCCCAACCCAATTAATAAACCTGGACTTTATAAGTAAATTATATAAATCTCTGCAATGTTGATTGATAAATTGGATTATCAAAGACATCAATATAAAAAGAAGTAAAAACATTCAAAAATCATTTATCGAGAAGATTTAAATTTTATCACCTAAAATTTACGCAGAAGATATCAAACTTTACTGTTATTTTCGTATATAAAAATGCATATTGCGTCAAGGTTACTTGTTTTTTCTACCTGAGCATAGCGAAAAATCTGTTTTTGATGCACAATAAAAAAATGTATTTCTGAAAGCGTAGGAAAACGGAGTATCAGGAACATAAAACGTTGTTACGCGTCTGAGTGATGATCACGTTTTTATATACTGTTCTTTTTGCAATAGAAAATGAAGATCTGCATTGTTACACGATCTAACATCAGTTTTAATTCTGTAATTTATAAATATTAAAAAATCGCAAAATTTTACTGGGTTTTATTGTTTAATGATCTTTACTTACTGATCATTAGTGTCAGTCATTTTAGCGTTAGGTTATATCCAAATTTGTACGTACGTACGTATAACACAAAGGTGCAATAGTAAATTTTGCATGTCATAATAGGTCATAAGTTCAGTCTGTCTTAACAAACACTGGTGATCATCTATTTTCGATTCCAACCTAAACCAATAATCTTTATTTTTAAAATTCTAATATTGTGATACTCGTAGTGATTATCTGTAATTAGAATAAATTCTGCTGCTCTCAATGAATTATAAATCAGCCCTGGACTATTCCATATGAAATAGTTCAGCGGAAGAAAATAAATCCAATAAATTATCATTATCAATTATTCATTATTTACCGGATCATGGACATATAAATACGTAATAGAATTGAAGGCTCAAAGTCTGATTTTCCTTCGTTAACTGTATACCATCCCAGAATTACCCGATACTACACTGTCCTTTTTTTGACCTAATATGCTGATGTAATTTCAATCCTTGGGTCTTGGCAATTACTAATTACAACCCTACACTTTAACGTGTAACAAATTTTTAGCTGAAATTATAAATAAATACTAGCACTAATGAAAAAAAAAATCAAAATCTTCTCAATTTTTACAGATTCCTAACAACTTGAATCAGCCCTCATAAACAGGTATTCGTTCGATTGACTGATTTAAATCAATTGTCTAACTAATTTATATGTTTTGTAATGCCTTTTAAGAACGTTAATATAAAATACTTTATTAAAGAATACTTTATTAAATTGACCAACCAGAAGATAATTATTGCATGGGTTATATTTCGAAATCTACTAGTAGATTTTTAAATCCATCCACTTAAAATATTGAACTGGTTTATTTTAAACCATCAATAAAGATTTGGATTTTCGCATCGAGCATTGCAAGACATAAATGACGGTAAAAAAAAACCCGTAATTAATGAATTTTACCTTATCGGACTTATCTTTTGAAAAATTAATTTCTAATGATTGTATGTTATAGAACTATGTACTAGTAGTACCTTTGGTCACGATGATACATTAGAGTCGGTAACTTTATTTATTGTAACCTTCACGTTGCTTTAAAATTATATGCTTAGTATAATAGATTATCTGAACGATGCCAGGGAAATTGGACTTAGACTTCGAGTTTATTATTTATTAGACTCAGACCTGATCAGAATGGTTCCATATTGTCATAATATTTAAATATATAGATTAGATTGCAACTAGGGCTTCACATGGTCAGGGTAGGCCCGGGTAATAACCATACCCTTACTAGCATAGCGAACTTTTGACGGGATTGGCTAATTTTTGTCATAATTAATTTTTTTGAAATATGATTGATCAATAAAATAATGCATAATGAAAGAAGACCAATTATCTTTATTGCATCATAATTACCAAAAAAATTATAATAATAATATGTAAAACTTTATTATTAAAACATATATCTTTATTTTTTAAAAAAAAAATTTTATATACAAATAATAGTGTTTTTCATTTGCGTTCTGTCTACTACTCTACCTAATTATAAACCCATTAAAGCATTTATAATATTTTTGATCTGTAAATCTATATTACTCTTTATAGGCAAACTAATACTAATATTTGTATTATTATTAGTTTTTTTTATTTTCTGTCTTTTTTATATCTGTTTTTATCTTATTAGTTGATTTTAAAGTTTTCTGAAACATTTTATAATTGTTTTTAATTATTAATATAAGATAATTAGTGCAATATCAATATTGATTTTCTAAAGTAAATAAATAACATTTAAAATAATAAGTGTATTTACAAATTAAAATACAACTTATTTTACAAAAATCTTATTATATTCTAAATTATTGATAAAATTTTTATATTAACTTAAAGTTTATATATATAATGTAATTTTAGAATTTTTATTAGATTAAATATTTTTCTAAATATCTAATATTATAATTCTCAAAAACATATTAATAAATAAGTTTCTATTATCTTTTAAACTGTTTTTCAGGCAAATTTGTCTAAAAATTTTATGATTGATCTGTGATTAAGCTATCAAATTATATTAAATTATAGTTTAAATTATAGTAAATACATAGTTAAATTAACAATTTA